CAGAAGGTTCTGAGTACGGTTGGCAGTGTAGCCATAGACATGGCCACATCACTGAAAGACAACATGGACAGGAAGTAGTACATGGGTGCATGGAGGCTGGGCTCCCCTCGCACAGTCTGCAGGATCAATGTGTTTCCTAAAAGGGCCATAGCATACATCATACAGAGAGGCCCTGCCAGCCAGGGGTGAGACCTCTCCAGACCAGGGATGCCAGTCAAGAGGAAGGAAGCAGGATGAGTGACATTATACATTCCCATTACAGGAAGAACCCAGGGTACTCTTCAGGCTCAGATCTTTTCACTTGGAGAACTCTAAGAGTTGTACTTACTGGAGGATAAGCAATTATGGGTTATGAGGCACAATTAAAGAAGATGATATTTACACAATTGAAACGTGTTCATGTAGTCACTGATTTTGAGATGATTCAGGCAAACTTCTTATTTTGTGATCATCAGGCTACAGGACAGGTTAATATTTCCTTCTGTTCTATGGATGGAGGAAGACATTGACAATTTCATTAAAAAATCAGTTACAAAGAAAACATTTTAACCACATTATCCATAACTTTTATGCATTTTAGAAGTATTATTCAATAGAAATGTGTTAACTACAATTAATAGATAGCCATTACAGAGGGAGATATGGGATTTGAGTCATCAGTAGCTCCTGGAAGTATTGAAATAGTTCTTTGAAAATGTTAAATTCAGACATATCACTAACTAATGAGAGAATTTCCTAGAGCTAGCTTGAGGTATGATGTGTGCTTGCATGGAGAAGAGCAGGTGCAGCAGTACATACTGTCTTGATATTTATACTCTTTAACTGCACATCTTTCTCATTCATACTCTCAGTCCACATGTATATAGAAGTAGCATTTACATAGGCACACTCAGGCATACACATGGATTTGTATATTTGCAGAACTTGTCTACTCACATACTTCCAGATTGCCCAACTTTCATATTTTTTGTTTACTCAGTTTTTCTTATACCAACACATGGCACTCATATGTTATTTAGTTCCCATAGCCATAATTCAGGTCATCATTCAGATGTTATGGACATGTTTTCATGTTCATTGCCTCATGATGGCTGAGGATAAGGAAGGCCAGAAGGATTTCCACATGGCGGGCATGTTTCAGATTTATATTATAGGACATTCTCGTTTAGGAGAAGAATTCCAGAAATACATACCTCTGTTTTTCCTTTCTCCTCCATCTCCAACATAAAAAAACAAAAACAAAAAAAAAACAAGGTCACTCCAAAGCCCTTTCTGATGGGAATGGAGAACAAAGTGGAACTAGGATCCTTAGGTATCTGAAAATTACAGAATTGATGAAATTGTTTGCAATGGAACATTGTCACTCCAGGAAGCATGTCTGGGTTTTCCCAAGTGGTTCCTAACTCACATGCATTGCCATTCTGAGCAAGCCAGTGACCATCACTCTGTGTTACATGATCACTCCTTTATAGTCTGAAATCTTAGCCTGTGCATGCCTGTGACCCTCATGAAACTGTGACTCCTTGGGAGCCAGGGCTAACCTGCCTCGTTTGTCTCGTATCATACATCTTTATATTCCCCTTATTCACATTGAGTCTTATAGCAGATAATCAGAAAACACAGAATAGAACTGAGCTAATATAAAGGAAATAGAAAGAGAAGAGGAAAGAAAATGGGTTGAAGTCAGGGTCCTGTGCATGCCATGGGCAAAGTCATTGTGGATCTGGGGACCTTAGTTTTAGAGTTTGTGGGAAAGATGTCCAATAATCTCAGGATCACACCTTTCCCCATGACCTGAGGCCTCTGACATTACAGGTTGTCTGGATAGCTATGAATGGAATGCAGAGAGAAAAAATGATACTTATTAAACACAAGCTGTGTACCAGGAACTCTGCAAAACACTTTATAATTGTTTAATCATTTAATCCTTGAGAAATGTGGAAACTGAGGCAAGTGAGATTAGTTTGCCTAATAACTCATAGTAAATAGATGATAAAATCACAAGTTAAATGAAGATCTGCAAGATTCCATTCCCTTACCTATGCTTTTGAGGGATCAATTAGGGTGTTGGAAGGAAAGTCAAGAAGGAAAATAGAAGCATACATTTTTGTAATTTCTGTATAGAGATTTCTCAACTACCCTTTAACAAGGAAATGGCTAAAGGCAGATATATGTGAATAGAATGGAGCAGAAAAATACCTGTCTCCAAACTGAAATCAAGCTATTCTGCTCTGGAGACCCAGAAAATTTACGTTACCAAAGACTTAACAGGAACCAGAGTGATTTAGGGGAAAGGACTCTGGGCTGGGTGTCAGGAATCCTGAGATTTAACCCAGTTCTGGTATTTCCTGCCTATGTAAATTGGGAAAAATACATTTCTTTTTTTAGACCAGTATCTTATTTACAGCTTTTAAAAATTATATTCTCTGAGATCCATTGTAGTTTTGGTGTACTTTTATTTTATTCTGCCATGAATGTTCCTAAGGTACTGAAAGAAGGCAGAAATAAAGAAGAGACAAGATTGGAAGGATCTACAGAGTAGCATGTCTAAAGACAATAGTTTTGAATCTATATACTGGATAGGAAAAGACTATAAATCCAGCTGTTCATGATTCATGCAAAGTGTTTAGCCCATTTCTCACATTTGTTTGTTCTCCTGGAGAGTAAAACGCCAGTTAACACAAAGTTTATGATTAGCTCATTTCTGCTATTCCTTTTTCTTGCTTTGACAACTCAGAGTTTGTAAAACAACACTAAATTAGACCCTGTGTGATTCAGCTGTTGATTTGAGTTACTGAATAATAATTGTGACCACTTTAGTGCTGCATTTCTAGGAAGTTTCTGTGTTCTGATTTCTGTTTCCTTCCCTGAATTTGCAGCAATGTTATTGAATTATATAAATTTCATCTTTTAAAGGTTGGTGTCTCAGGGAAATAGATTGTGACAAGCAAGTGATCTAGAGAAGTACAATGAATTACTCAGAGTTAAATAATCAGTGGCAGCACCAGAACCAGAACCCCAAATCCAGGAAGATTTCCACCTGTTCTGTTCTCTCTACCAGGATGCTGCTTTTAGAAATCCCTACTCAGCTTCTCACTTCTCACTCACCCTGACCCTTGCATGGTCTAGCCTGTTCTAGGTGCAGGCTTTATGAGCATCACCTGGCTAACCCCTCCAGGGCTTCAGAACTCACCAGAAGAGCGACCAATAAGAGACCCCCACAAAGCAGCACCTTCTCTCTGTCTGCTAAAGTGAATTCCTGTTTGGCTCTTTTATGTCTCACTCTGAGCCTCAGGGACAGAGAAAAGTGATGCTGACTTTGTGCCTGAAAATTCTTCAGGGAGATTTTAATCTCCCAAAGTCCTTAATGAAGACTGGGAATAAGGTATATACTCTTTTAACTGAATATGAGCTCAGTAGTCTGCCAGATCAATTCTCCATACAACACAAGACACCATGTGGTGATAGTTGGGTAAGTGCTGTAAGACAGAGCTAATTACGTTCTAAGTGGTACCACTATTGTGTAATGTGTAATATATAAGCGCAAATAAAGTGCAATAAGAAAATAACTATTTGACTTTCTTGTCCCTTAAGTATGTTGGGGATAGTTTTTTCTTTATTACTGAATTAAACTCAGTTCACTAAAGTTTTCAGTTGCATTCACAGAATAAAATATGCTGTGGTGAAGAATTGGAATGCTCAGCCTCACATAATTGTCAAACAGGTCAGCATTCAGTCACAGCTTTTCCTTTTCTCCCATGTCTCAATTGCTAACCATGGTTGTGGTTTTCCCCTCCAGGCAACAGAGACATGGGGAACTGAAAGTTCATAATTCATTATTACTGCTCTTCACTTCTATGATGTTTGCCGGGCTTATTAAATGTTTAAGCCTGACTCTCTGACATTTAGCATTTTCATAAATTACTCAAGGAAGTCTCATCATCTTTCAATTATTTCTCGTTTGATTTCAGTAAATGTATTTTTACTCTGTAAGCTTGTTTTTACTATGTATAACACAGCTCCCCCTGGTAGAATCCTACATTCAATTGATCAGCATCTAAGACAACACCAGTCCAGGTCTCTCCAGGATGTAGTTGATGCAGGAAATGGTCAGGCTTCCTTGATCACAACTAATACCCTACCCTAAAGCAGGAATGGTCTCTTGGTCTATCCTGCTGTCATAACAAAAAGGAAAATTTTATCAAATTTAGGTTTTATTTATTTAATTTTGACATGGAGTTTCATCATATTTTACACTCTGTTGAATTCACATTTACCTGTCACAATATAATTCAAGAAACAAAACTACTGCTCAGTAATAGACCAATCAGAATATAAGAGACACAGAAATTCCTTTAATTGAGAAAAAATAATGTAAAGAATTGTTCAGCAACCATTAGAGAGCACACAAGACAAAAAGGGAATATGAACATGTCATCAGAGGTAGCAACTTCAGGAAGTAACTTCTAGTCATGGAGCTGAAGGAACAAAGAGAAGGATCTAGAATCAGTAAGTCCTACAAGCTGAAAGGAGCGTGCACTGCTTAGACGGTTTTGGGTCACGAGATCTCAGGCAGAACCCCTCTATGATTTGGACTTACTCTCCTGAGACAGGAGTTTGGAGGGAGGCTCGTCTGGCTTGTTCTGAGGTATTTAAGAGGGCAGGGAAAGATTTATTCAGGGAGTGTTGGAAAGTTGCAAAATAGAACCAACTACGCCACTGAAATTAACCCTTCATGTGTAAGTGAAGAATTGTTGCTGAGGTAACAAAAAGGAGAGACTGAGAGTTCTCCTTTTCCATCTCAGCTTCCTAGGGCCCTCTACTTTTAGATCTTAGGATCTAATTAGCAAAGCAGAAAGGTGGTTTTCACTGAATCAGCCCCATTGCACAAAGAAAAATATAGATTAGAAGGTGGGATTGAGAATGTGAGACAATAATAAACTGACCAGTACAACAAAACATATTCATTTAATAATGGGCATTGCTTATTTAAATTTCAGAGGAACTTTGGAACTGACCAGCAGATGGTAATACAGTCTATGCATTTGCTGCAGTGGGGACCACAACCATCCACGGACTACAGAGTCAAATAAGCACTGCCAGAGCTACCACCAAGGTGACATTGACCACTGGGAGCCGAAGCCATGGAAAAGATGCAATCGGTGGTGGAGACTCTGACTGTAGCAGAGTTGGAATGAGAGACATACCCTATAACTGTCATGCTTCCCAATAGATGAATCACTCTGAAAGTCAACTGTCTTGGGAGTTTGGAACATTCTTCAGGTAATCATTGGAGATCTGTGATATGGAGGAAATCCTCAGAAGAGTGACCAGTTGATTTGCAAACCTTGGTAGAATAAAGCCCAATCGATTTGCCTTACTCCTACATCATTAACAACATTGTAAAATACATGATCTCTCATTGGCTTTCATCTACCTAGTCACTATAGGGCAAATTGTCAGCTCACTGTAGTCCATAAGGATAGGCATAATTGAACCTATCAACTTCTCAAGAATAGAGATTCTCTTGTATAAACTGGTAGACAGATTTCACCAGGCAATACTTCAGACTGGCATATGATCAAATTCTCCTTATCCACTCAAGTAGAACTAATTCTCTTTCTTCCTGATACTTCTATTATTGCCATGAAAGCAATGATCACAATTAATTATAGCTGTGTTTGCTCTGTTACCTCTACTAGAGATAGCTTGGAGAAGAAACAGATGTCTCTAGAATGTTACATAAATACGACAAGGAGTGCTAATTTGTTGAACATAATTATTTGATCTTGGACAAAACATGCTACAGCTGAGAAATTTGATGCCTTCCCTTAATCATATGAAAATACATCAATTATACCAAATACATTAAATTTATTCCATAACATGTCCTAACACAGATAAAGCAAAAAGATACCCAGTTTTGGCTTCAATTGGAACTTGAGATATCTTGTATTAGGCTGAATTTTCATTGCTATTTGTTTATATTTTAAGAAGAATATTCTCTTACTTCATCTTTTTTTCTTACTTTCATTAAACAAATTTTCTCATATCTCATAATGAAATTATCAAACACAGAAAACTTGAATTTTACAGTGATAGTATATCTGCCACTGATATTATATCACTAACACTTTATTAAACTTTATTTATCATATACACCCATGTATCCATACCTCTAAACATCCATAAATCTATCTAATCTTTTAAAAATATTTATTTATTTAATTAATTAGAGAGAAAATAAGATAGATTTCCTATCTGCTTTTTCAATCCCCAAATGCCTGTAACATTCAAGGCTGAACTGAGAGCTGCAAACTCAATCTGGGTGTCCCATGTGATTGACAGACCAAATACTTGAGCTATTATCTGCTGCCTTGGAGGGTGTACATCAGCAAGAAGTGGGAATCAGGAGCAGAGCCAGGACTTGAATCCAGGCACTATGATTTGGGCTGTAGGAATCCTAAGCAGCAGCTTAACCACTGCATCAAACTTCATCCCCATTTTGTCTTTTATGGATTTCCAAGTATTCTGCAACATCAATACAATTCCCTCTAAATATTTTAACATTCTTATCATCAATTGAAGTTCCACATTTTTGCAGTTCTTAGATTTGTTTCAAGCATGCAAAGTTCAATCTTACATGAACATTAAATGATTTTTCACAAATGCGTTGGTTTTATTGTGAAATATGTTTATGACGTACTTCGAGGTAAGCTCTGGAAGTATATTTGAATTTTTGGACAGGATGGTTTTTCACTATTTAACTTCTTTGTTATATTAGCCGCGATGTATTTATTATTTTACATAATCATCTGTACTGAGAATAATATCTAAATTATTGCTGGGATGGGCACTGGGCACAGCAGTGAAGACGCCATTTGGGATGTCTGCATCTCCTATTGGAGAGTTTGGATTCAAGTTTCCTCTGTGCCCCTGATTTCAGAGGGAGCAAACAATGGCTAACATACTTTTTGGGCCCTGCTACCTATATGGGACACCCAGTGTTTTTTTTTTTTTTTTACCCAGAAATCTTTTATTTAAGGTATACAAACTTCATGCATTTCATAAATACTAATTAATAACATAGTGATATAATGATTCTTCCCACCCTACCTGCCCTCCCACTTGTGCTCCCACCCTTCTTCCTCCTCTCTCTCCTATTCCCACTTCTTATTTTTTACTAAGATCTATTTTCAATTAACTTTATTATTTTTTTTTTTTGACAGGCAGAGTTAGTGAGAGAGAGAGAGACAGAGAGAAAGGTTTTCCTTCTGTTGGTTCACCCCCCAAATGGCTGTTATGGCCGGCACGCTGCGCCGATCTGAAGCCAGGAGCCAGGTGCTTCCTCCTGGTCTCCCATGTGGGTGCAGGGCCCAAGCACTAGGGCCATCCTCCACTGCACTCCCGGGCCACAGCAGAGAGCTGGACTGGAAGAGGAGCAACCGGGACAGAACCCGTGCCCTAACCAGGACTAGAATCTGGAGTGCCGGCGCTACAGGCGAAGGATTAGCCTAGTGAGCTGTGGCACCAGCCTAACTTTATTATTTTTAAAGATTTATTTATTTACTTGAAAACCAGAGTTACACAGAGAGAGGGGAGGTAGAGAGAGAGAGGGAGAGGTCTTCCATTCGATGGCTCACTCCCCAATTGGCCACAACGGCTGGAGCTGTGCTAATCTGAAACCAGGAGCCAGGAGCTTCTTCCGGGTCTCCCACGTGGGTGTAGGGGCCCAACCATTTGGTCCATCTTCTACTGCCATCCCAGGCCACAGCAGAGAGCTGGGTCAGAAGTGGAGTAGCCAGGTCTCAAACTGGTGACCATATGGGATGCTAGCGCTTCAGTTTAGGGTGTTAACCCACTGCGCCACAGTGCCGGCCCCTTCAATTAACTTTATACACATAAGATTAATAAGTAAAGAGTTCAACAAACAGTATGAAAAAAAAAAACAAAAAACAAAACTGTTCCTCAACAGTTGAGACAAGGGCTGTTCAAAGCCATTGCATTTTAAAGTGTCAATCTCACTTGTGTAGGTAACCTTTTCAGTGTTCTTTTAGTTACCACAGATCAGGGAGAACATATGGCATTTGTCCTTTGGGAATGTCTTATGACACTAAGTTTAAAGTTTTCCAGTTTTATCCATTTTGCTGCAAATGATAGGATTTCATTTTTTTAACCACTGTGTAGTATTCCATGGTGTACATATCTCATAACTTCTTTATCCAGTCTTCAGTGATGGACATTTGTGTTGATTCCATATCTTAGCTATTGTGAATTGAGATGCAATATACAGGGTGGGTACAGATAACTCTTTCATATGCTGATTTCATTTCTCTTGGGAGTCCTAGATTAAGTTCCAGATTTCTGGCCTTGGCTTTTGGGGGCATTTTGGGAGTCAAACAGTGGGTGGAAGATCTTCTTGTCTGTCTATTTTTGACTCTGTCTGTCTCTTTGCCTTTTATATAATAACAAAAAAAACTTAAAAAAATAAATATTTCTCAAAAAAAATTCTTCTTCTATTGGTTTGTTTAGTTTTAGTAGAAATGAACTGTTTGTAATTTTTAGGCCCTCTACAGTACAGTAGTAGAATAAAAGGAGTTCTTACAGAAGAAACATGTTATATGGATGCTGGTTTCTATACAGCAAAGTGCATGATTGACAAATTCCATGTGTCAGTCTGTGAATAGATATGAAGATATAAGTTTGTTGTACATTTGGTTGATCTGTTAATGATAATGAGTGTGTGTTCGAAATATATACTTTTGGTTAAGTGAAAATAAAATGGGAATGTATTGCAAACAAATTTTATTACTTTTTTTTTTTTTTTTTGACAGGCAGAGTGGACAGTGAGAGAGAGAGAGAAAGGTCTTCCTTTTTGCCATTGGTTCACCCTCCAATGGCCGCCGCGGCTGGTGCATCATCCTGATCCGAAGCCAGGAGCCAGGTGCTTTTCCTGGTCTCCCATGCAGGTACAGGGCCCAAGCACTTGGGCCATCCTCCACTGCACTCCCGGGCCATAGCAGAGAGCTGGCCTGGAAGAGGGGCAACCGGGACAGAATCCAGTGACCCGACCAGGATTAGAACCCAGTGTGCCGGCGCCGCAATGCGGAGGATTAGCCTATTGAGCCACGGCACCGGCCTGATTACTTCTTTAAATATGTCTGTGTCTTTATTTATTTCTAAAATTACATCTGTAATCTAAATTAGACTTTACAATTAACATAAGAATGCACATATTGGGGCCAGCATTGTGTAGTGGATAAACCACCCCATGCCCGAGACAACTGCATCTCATATTGGTTCTGGTTCAGTCCTGGCTGCAGCACTTCTGATCCAGGTCTCTGTTAATGGTCTGAAAAAAAGTATTGGAAGATGGCTTAAGTGTTTGGGCTCCTGCTACCATCAGGGAACACCCAGATGAAGCTCCTAGTTCCTAGCTTCAGACTGGGCCAATGCTGGCCATAGTGGCCATCTGGGGAGTGAAACAGAGGATGGAAACTCTCTCTCTCTGTCTCTAGCTCTGACTTTAAAAAATAAACAAGTAAGTCTTTTTAAAAAAGAATGCACAGGCTATGTAGTATGTTTGATGTGTTAAGATACATGAGAGACTAGAACATTGGGCAGGTGCATGATCATACCCATATTTGTGTTTATTGAATATAAATTTTGAAAAGGAAATGTGAAGCTGTCCAGTCGTGGGCTTTACTTTATTGGGAGGGTCTTTATTACTGATTCAGTTTTCATCTTGGTTATTGATCTGTTTAGGTTTTCTGTGTCTTTGTGGCTCAGTTTGGTAGGTTATGTGTGTCCAGAAGTATCCATTTCTCTGGGTTTCCTGATTTGTTGGCATACAGCTCTTTATAGTAATTCCTGGTGATTCTTTTTATTCCTGTGGTATCTGTTGTTAAATTTCCTTTTTCATCTCTAATTTTATTGATTTGGGTTTTCTCCCTCTTTTTTTTTTGGTTAATTGGGCTAATGGTGTGTCAATTTTGTTTATTTTTTCAAAAAAAAAAACAAGCTTGTCATTTCATTGATCTTTTTTGTTTCAATATTTATTTCTTCTCTAATTTCAATTATTTTATTCTGCTAATTTTAGGTTTGGTTTGTTTTTCTAGGTCCTTGAGATGCATTGATAGCTCATTTATTTGGTGCCTTTCTAGGTTCTTGATGTAGGCACCAACTGCTATAAGCTTGCATTTTAACACTGCTTTTGCTGTATCCCATAAGTTTTGACATAATGTATTATCTTCATTCATTCCCAGCAATTTTGTTATTTCCCTTTTGATTTTTTTTTTACAGGCAGAGTGTACAGTAAGAGAGAGAGAGACAGGTCTTCCTTTGCCGTTGGTTCACCCTCCAATGGCCGCTGCAGCCGGCG